TGAGAAACCTAAAGATAATCTTATGTTTTTGATTGTCTTCAAACTTTGTTGGCATCAAAATTGAAATGCTCTATATAAAGCAGTTTATATTACTCAAACACAAAAGAAATTGTCGGAAATTGCCCAGATTGGCAAATTAATTATATTTCACACAATCAGGAAACTAATCAAAGAGGTCTGGCACCAAATGATTTATAGCTAGTGGTTATCCTCATTATGTAGAGTTCCTCCTATATAAATATATTCATGTGCCTATATATACCTATTCTAATGTTATCCATGTTACAAACTCTCCATAAAGAAAATACCATGGCTGTTACAGCACATAGTTTATCAGCGTTTGCTAAACAGGGCTCACCTTTAAAGTTAAAAACCAATAATGTTCCAGTTTATACTTCAAAAATGCCTTTACAATTCTGTACTCTCTGGTTCATTAAATTGTCTCACGGAATATCCTATAATCAACAAGATCAAGTCAGAGTCAAAAAACTCACCTAACTATAACTTCTTTCAAAACAAAATCAGAGGGAGATTGGATTGACCCAGCCACCCAGGGACCAAAATATAATTATGCCTTAAAAACTACATTATTTGCTTGAAACCCTTGCTTGAAGATACCTGACAAGGGCCCAGCATTTAACATGGGAAAGAGGACATGCTTATGTCTCAACAGGTAAATAACTCATGTGTCTCTCAGCAAGAAGAGTAAACCGTTCCTATGAGTCAACAATAGAACCAGACTCCTGATTCCCTTTGTTTATTGAGATGCTTTACACTCAACTACAGACTCCTGAGAAGGATCAACTACAAAGAGACACATACCCACAAAGAGTGGAAAGCTGCTTCTGATCCGGCCAACATCCTCCAGTGGACCATCAGGAGAACTTTGAAAGTCACCTTTAAGTTCACATCACCCTACAACCTTGCTCTAAACACATACCGGAAGTTGGTCAGTCAATGCTCTATGGAAGAGTGAGAAGCACATCAGAGATGGGAAAATCCCAGTGACTTCATTGCTATCCTCTGTTGTTGGTAGCAGAAGGGATACTAATCCTCTCTCAAGATTCGGGACTGTCTGCTATGTCTCTCTTGAATATTTGGTCTCTGGAAGGGCCCTATTGATCATGCTGTATATTTGTGTAATTTTTTTAAATCTCCAGCAGTGTGGGTTCTAAAGTGGTGGGTGATAGCTGCTATGGGTAATGTCACTAGTGTTACCCAAGATGAGGATATCATTCTATTCTATAACTGGCTTTCAGTGCATCTCCCAGAGACAACTAAGTCAACCCCCTACCTGGGGACAGTTTAAAAATCTTATTCACAAGGAAGAAGGAGAATGAAAAGAATTAGGCCATCTTGCCACCCCTGCTAGTATGTTTCTTAAATCCTTAATTAATACTGGAGGCATGACATGGTCAAAGCAATCATGGACTGCTTGACAGAACATGACAGTGTTTCCTACTGGTGGGAATGCCGACTGGTTCAGCCCTTTTGGAAAACAGTATGGACGATTCTCAAAAAATTAGAAATTGAGCTCCCATTTGACCTAGCAATACCACTCCTGGGAATAAATCCCAGAGAGGCAAAAAAGTATAGCCGAAGTGACATCTGCACTTTTTTGTTCATTGCAGCACTCTTTACAATAACCAGAATCTGGAAAAACTTGAGTGCCCAAGAACAGATGACTGGTTAAAGAAACTTTGGTACATTTACACAATGAAGTACTATGTAGCTGTCAGAAAAGATGAAGTCATGAAATTTACATACAAGTGGTACTACATGAAAAGTATCATATTAAGCAAATTAGTCAGAAAGAGAGGGATAGACATAGAAAGATTGCATTCATCTGGGGAACATAAAGTAACAAAATAGGAGACTAACACCCAAGAGTGGCCGAGATTAGTTCCAGGAATTTTGCTCCATGGTTTGGAGGTCAGCCACACATGCTAGGGGAAAAGGGAGCTCAGATAGAGAAGGGAGCACCAAATAAAGAGTGTTGGGAGGATCCTTCCAGGATGGGAGAAGCATGCTGAAAGTAGACTATAGACCAAACCTGATTGCCACTCAATGCCTCTTTTGCAAACCACAACACCTAAAAGGAAAGAGAGAACAAAAGGGAATGCCCTGCCACAGAGGCAGGGTGGGATGGGGAGGAGATGGGGGTGGGAGGGATACTGGGATCCCTGGTGGTGAAAAATGGGCACTGGTGGAGGGATGGGTACTTGATCATTGTATAACTGAAACCCAAGCACAAAAATTTGTAAGTCTACAAATGCACCTCATGGTGTTTCACTAATAAAAATTTAAAAAATAAAATAAAAGAACATTACAGTGTTTCCAGGCAACTTGGACCACATGAAAGCATGACTCTCATTGTCTGTGTACTTGCAATGTTACCCACCACCACATTCTTCCTGAGTCTCCTTTGGAAATCAACGCTAATATTGGCTTACACATTAACCTTCAGAATTGTTTTTAGTTTCACTGTTATGTTCCCGCACATAGCCCCTACCCCTTGGCACATAAACACCTTTGTCCTAGCACACTAAATGTTCATCCGACCAAGGAGTGGTAGCTCATTCAGAAAAGAGTGGTGCTTCCCAGCCTCACAATTTACCAAAATTAGTGGGTACTGTGTCTGATTTATCCACAGAAATTTCTGATTATCAGGGAAATGAGAATCAAAATGATAATGAGATACCACATCTTACCAGTAAGACTGTCTTATATCAAAAACAGTTTGGAAACAACCTGTGTCAGCAGGGTTGAAGGAACTCCCACTCACTGTGGTTGGAAATTTCATCTTGCTCGGCAAGCTACCGAGAGTATTCGATATGCCAGACACAGTAACAACAAAGTCTCCAATGGAGACGTTACTGGGCCCACTCGAGCAAATCGACGATCAACGGGAGGGCCTTTACCTTACCATCCTCTATGGAAAACAGAATGGGAGCATCTCAAAAAAACTGAATATCAAACTCCCAGATATCACAAGATGATATGTGCATCATTTTGCACATGATGATAGATGCACAAGAGACTACAACTCAGCTGAAAGAAATGATGCAATCTGACTCTCAGCTATAAGTTGGATGTCATCAGGAGGGTAGCACTACAGCACTGTCCTCCTGGTGTTCATCGATTCGCTCGAGCAGGCACCGGTAATATCTCCATTGTGAGACTTGTTGTTACTGTTTTTTGGCATATTGAATACATCACAGGAAGCTTGCCAGATTTTGCCATGTGGGTGAGTAGCTTGCCGGGCTCTCCGAGAGGAGCAGAGGAATTAAACCTGGGTCAGCCGCATGCCCCTGTGCCTGGCTGTCCTCGCCGGGGCCCCTTGGAGGGGAGCAGGTTGAGTTTCCCTCCCTGCCCCGATCAGGGTTCCGGCAGCCGAAGACCTCCAGAACCAGCCACCACCATGCTGAGACTACTCTCCACATGCATGAAGGTATCGGCAGAGGAACAAAGGCATGCGGGTCCCGGGGCTGAGATCTCCAAGCCTGCTCGGATCAGGGTTGAGCATCCTCCACCCAGATCACATCAACGGCCAAGACCTAGAGACTATAAAACCCAGCTCCCAGCGACACCTTATTGTCTCATTCTTACTTTGGACAAAATGGCAGGTTACCAAATGTAACCTGCCCAGATGGCAGAGTCTGGCAAACTCCCCGTGATGTACCCAATATGCCAAATATCAGTAACAATGATGGGTCTCATTCTCCTAACCCTGGAAGAGCTTTTAATATGGCACTTTTTAAAAAATTTCAGGGCTAGGACAAAGGAGACGTTACTGGGGCCTGCTCGAGGCAATCAACAAACAACAGGATGGTTGTGATTGCATGCAAGGCAAACGCCCTACCCGCTGTGCTATTGTTCCAGCCCACTGGGAGGGTATGTTAAGAAATAAGTCAGAGGGAGAAGATTAAATACTAGATAATTGCAATGTTGTGGACAGAGGGACAGAGACAAGTAAAGTGAAGAAACCAGAAAAGTTTATCGGTGTGTGTCTCTGGGTGAGATCTACTGGCCTCTAGTGAGGTTGGGGTAGAGCCATGCCCTGAGAGAGGCTCAGGGGAGGTGTTTTAGGTGTCTGGGTTGGGAAGGGACAACAAAATACCAGTGCACATGATCTGGCATCCTGGGGGGTGAATATAAGAAAGCATGGAATGCAGCCTGGTGGCTACCAGGCACAAGATGAGCTCATAAGTCCTGTTTGCAGTGAGGGAAAAAAGATTATCTTTGACCCTGGGAAAGTGTTGCTATCTTCTCAGCTGGCAGTCATTTGGTCCTGAGCAAACTTGACAATGATCTTACTCATATGTGGTGTATAAGGAAAGTACAGGACAGTATACCTTCTTCAAAAAACCCTGGAACTTTGACTACATAAGATTACCAATAATGTGGGGAGGTGTGGATGGGGGGAGGAAGAATTTTCAGCTTAGAAGCACTTTAGTGGTGGTGGAGGTGCAGAAACTTTGTACACCAAGTTAATAAATATTAACTTTATTATAATGTGTAACCTCACTGCAAAAAAAAGTAAAAAATGGTGATGCTGTTCATCAGAGCAATAACAGGCAAACATAATCTTATATTGCAAAGGGAATGTAGGTTTTTGAATAACATTCTTGAATAACATTCATTCCGCCAAGAGCACAGCAGAAGCCTACATTATATGTAGAAAATCGATGGAATAGTCAGCTCGTGAGTACAGGCAATGATTTCAGAAAGTGAGAGTTTTGCATAGGACAGAAACTTTGTCCTGCTTCTGGAGGGACCAATTACTTATATAAATTTTGTTTAAAAGAAAGAATGAAAAAATTGTATGGTAATGTTTTCCCTCATCTAAAAATATATTGGAGGACATGATGGAGTTAATAAAGGGCCTGCTCACATATGTTTCTGATGAGACTTTCACTGACTGATTTATCTTATCTTTATTGTGGGAACCAACGCCTTGATGCATTCTCAGAAACATTTGTTTGACTGTGCTTCAGGAAGGGTCCATGATTTTCTAGCTCTCCTTACAGAAGAATAATGAAACATCTATTGGGGATCTTACATCTCTTCTGGGTGCTGGTGCCCAGTGGGCAAGGATATGATGGGTGAGTATGAAGAGGAAAGAGGAACTAACTATCATGATTTAGATGAAATGAAAAGTGTTTTTTGATACCAATGCAGGAGGCGGGAAATACAGACTACAGAAGTTTTATCACTAAAACTTACTTTACTAATCTTTGAATAGATAGCAAAATGTATGATAAATATCTAACATGTATGATAAATGCCATTTGATTTGTCATGTTTTTGATTGTCATGATTTGTCATGAAGGAAGAAAATTATAAAGAAAACTCTGTAATCCTCATTATTTCAACTACCAAGAAAAAGGTTTAACAAATTTTAAATTTCTAATAATTTTACTAAGAGATAAGTGTTATATATATTGTTTTGGGGGGTTCCATTGCTAATTATATTCCATGTATCACTGTTACCATATAGGACATTTAGTAGGTTTCTAATTTGTCATTTTAACAAATGTACTATGAGCATCTAGCTTCATACTTTTTTGGCAAATCGTAGCTATTTCCCTAATAAAAGCTATAGAAGTGGAGTTACTGGGTGAGAAGCCTAGAAAAGGAATCTTACCACACATAACCATATTGCCCTCTAAAAATGTTGCAACTGTTTATATTTCCAAGAGTAGTACATGAAAACACGTTTAAAATGTATGCCAATTTGACAAATGAGAAGCATCCATAGTTTACTTACTTTCCATTTTGTTGATTTCTAATAATGTTAAGTATTTTTGTCTTAGTTATTACTCATTTTATTTGTTTATAAATTACCTATTTGTGTCGTTTACCCAGTTTCCCTTCCTTATTCAGAATGACTCATAACTGCTCTATAAATACATTAGACTTTTTACATACATAATATGCAGGTGATGTACTTTTCATGTAAAGTATATTTTCCCTATTTAATACACAGCTCATTTTTTTTTACCTATTTGTATATTGCATCAATGTGTGGTCATAGCGTTTCCTCTTCATGCTTAAAAGAAACCAGAAATGAAGCTGCTTTCATGGAACAGAGATATAGATGCTGGTGTTTTCCCTTAAGTGTGTGACTTCAACTTTTCTAGCTCTCCCTTACTTTCTCCTTTAGCTTCACAACTAATTTTATCTGATATCAGACAAGCGTTTGAATCTAGTACTCATATTTTCTATCACTTTACTACTTGCATTTTTAGATGCAGACTTATATTCCCTTTTGAGAGTCTTTATTCAAAACTTACAGACAAAACTTCTTACATATTTCACAAGGTTTTGCGGTGGGAAAAAAATTTCAACTTGGTTAAAAATAAAATTTACACACCCTTTGACCTAGTATACCAGCTTTTAGAAATTACATGATTAAATAAACAGAACAGAAAGTTTTATGTACTGAAATACAAGGTTATTTTGAATATAAGAATGGTCTTAAATATTACAGTCTTGTGGACAATCTAAATTACCCATGTTGGGTTATATACAATATATAACAATATCTACAATATATAGCAATGGAATATTATTTATCTGTTAGAATCATTATTATGAAATTTTATAAGTAAAGGGAAAAGTATTTTCCTAAGACAAAGGTACAAAATGCAAAATGTAATAAAATATTTAGAAATATGTGCATTAAATGATGGAAGTGATTAGCTTTAAGCAATGGAACTCAATTAAATCAGTCTTCATTGGATAGTTCCTTATGACTATGCTTGAAGGGAAAATGATAAAACCTTCTATTTGATCCTTATTGGCCTTTTCATTTTCAATAATGTTTACTGCTATAAATAAATTACATAAAAATATAAATAATCTAAAATAATTTCCACTTGTATGTGGCTCTAATCAGCTGAAAACATTTTGCTACTTTGCTACATGTGAGATAATGATAGTCTATAAAATATTTAAGTTAGCAGTTAAAAGTTTTTTCATTTTTTTCTCGAACATTTGGGGATATTGTCTATTTAGTAAAAGTGTAAATGCATTGAATCATTTGCATTAAGGCAATATGAGTTAAATTTCTTGAAAATGTTCACTGTCAATGTAATTTAAAAAGCTAAACAGAAATGAACACAAAAATTTATCCAAAAGTCATTTGCTCCAGAATTATTAACAATAACACAAAACAAAAAGGGAAACTATTTAATATCTAACACGCATAAAATATTTAAATGAATTATATTATATGTTGTATATTTTCTGTGAAATATGATGCAGTCACTAAAAGTCATTTATAGGGTATCAGGACTCCCAATTCCCCACCGTACTTTTTCAAAGAATAATTAACACTCAAACCATTTTTATTCATTTGGTAAAATGTTGCTGGTAAAACATAGAATACAAAATATTCTACACATATAGAAACTTCACTGTATTTAAAGAAAAATATGAAGGGCTCAAGGAATAGTACAGCGAATAGGAATTTTGCTTTGAACCCAGGCCAAACTGGGTTTGATCCCCGGTACCCCATATGGTCACTGAGCCTGCTAAAAGTGATTCCAGAGCACAGAGCCAGGAGTAAGCTGGGTGTAGCTTCCCCCAAAACAAAAATAAGTAAGTAAGTAAATAAATAAATAAAAGGAAAAATATGCACAGGTACAAGACTAAAAAAGGGTATGTCAAAATATCAAGAGTGATTAATTCATGTTGGTAGTGTTACCGAGGGTTAATTTTTCTTTCTCTTTTCTATTTTTCTCTTCCTTTTGTCCCTCTATAATTTCTAAATTTTCCATGAGAAGAAACATTAAATTTATAAGCAGGAAAAGTTTGAAATGCATTACTAATCATGAAATATTCATGTAACTGTTTCTTTACTATTTAAAATACAAACTTTGCCTCAGTGTTCATTAGGATATTTTTTCTTCTTTACACATTCCAGTCAAATCTTCATCAGACAACTTTGATCTGCAATATTTATAATAATGTACCCCCACAGGATCATTTTCTCTGCTAAATATCTTATAAATTCCTATTCAAAAAGAACACACAAAATATAATCATCTTTTCATTTGATTGGAGAAGTGACTGGTGATAATTTGGGGGATTAGCCAGTTTATACATTCCCTCTCTACATGTATTATTCATCACTCAAGAAATTGCCTAGAAAAGATTCTTCTTTTCTAAGTGTATTGCTTGAACTAAGTATTTACTGAAACTAAGTACTTGGATTTCTGAGATTTAACTACTATGTTAAATTTCATGTAAAAATTATAAGTACACTTAATACCAGTGGTTTTTCAGACAAGTTCCTCATAGATCACCTTTTTCACCTTTCCATATGTATATATACAAAGACCCAACCTTTCAATACTGGGTTTGAGACTACATGCTTACACATTTCATAGGCATTAGCTGGGAAAAGTTAACCTTGTTGCTTGTAGTGCCCTGTTATCTCTTAACGTATTTTCTCTATATTGTGATATTGTTGGGCTGGAGCAATAGCACAGTGGACAGGGCATTTGCTTTGCATGCGGACGAACTGGTTCGATTCCTCTATCCTCTTGGAGAGCCCGGCAAGCTACTGAGAGTATCCTGTCTGCACGGCAGAGCCTGGCAAGCTACCCATGGCGTATTCAATATGTAGAAACAAAAAAACAAAAAAAAAACCAGTAACAACAAGTCTCACAGTTGAGATGTTACTGATGCCCATTCAAGCAAATCAATGAACAACAGAACGAGAGTGCTACCATGCTACAGTGCTACAGTGTGATATTGTCATGGAATATCAACCTAATGAAACCAGAATTCACAGGGTGCCAGTCTGCTTTCTTTTTTAGTAATATTACTTTCTTACTCTGTCCCATTTGATATACCAAACACAATAACAACAAGTCTCACAATGGAGACGTTACTGGTGCCCGCTTGAGCAAATCAATGAACAACGGGAGGACAGTGTTACAGTACTACAGTGCTACTCTGTCTCAATGAGGAAAGACCCACATATTAACTGAACTGCAGGAGAAATAAGGTCACTCTGAAAAGCCACAGTTCCTGTTCTCTATATTATTGAGAAGGAATCTCTAATCAGCTTATATATACAACAGGTCCTTGAATAATTTCATTTCATTATAATAATGTTGAGGAGAATAAACCACTTTCAAATAATGGTAGTGGGGAAATTGCTTTTGCCATATGTTGCTTCATTTAGTTATACTTTCTAAGAAACTGTTCATCACATTATGAGGGGACTTAACTATATATGTATACATAAATGCATCTTTATATATACATATATATGTGTGTATGTAAATTAAATCCTTACAGCTTCTTAGAAGAGTGTTGGTATGTATAATTGCTAGCAAAATATTGTTTGTTACTATTGGCTATGTTTGGATTTGGAATTCTTCTCATTGGTGCTCAATACACCTAGTATATCATGTAATCAATAGGTAGGCACTAATTTATCACACTGCTTGTCCTATTTTTTAATGGCTAAGTTGTTTTACTTTTCATATATTTGTCTTGTTCCCTTAAGTACATTTTTAGCTCTGGAAGAAAGACATGTGCTTTTCTCTTATTGTCTGTTACTGCTTTTGCAGAGAATTAACACATTGTGTTGTTGAATGGATTAAATGAGATAGCAAAATAAATGCTTTGATCATTGATTAACATAGTGTTTGATAGGATTACCTAGTTTGCTATAAAGTTCATGTATTTGTTAACAATTTGATAAAGACATAACTTGTACTCCTAAATGTATGTGTACATTAAACTTATATAAAATTTAAACACATCATGGGACATATTTTCTTTATATATTTTTTATGAAATATTTTATAAATCAATAAGCCTCAAGATATTGCTTGTATCTTTATGCATTCTTATATTGAAATTCCTTACTCAGAAGCACTCTTGCTTATTAAAAAATACCAAATGAATTATAATTAGAAATGAATCCCTGAATAACAAACGGAAATGTATTACTCCTCAGCTATTACAATTTTAATAACATTTGTTTCTTTTAGTCCCCTTCTAAAAGTCATTCTCATTGTTTTAACTTATTTATATAATCTTATTGCAAGACTTTTCTCTTTGAAAGCTAAATAAAGTAAAA